TGCTATAAAGAAAAGAATATGATATGACATGTTAGGCAGCATTCCACATCAAAAATTCTGTTTTTATCACTTACCTACTCGAGGACGATAGGAGTTAAGCTTGGGGATGCTGATACGTCTCCAACGTATCTATAATTTTTTATTGTTCCATGCTGTTATATTATCAATATTGGATGTTTTATAATCGTTTTATAGTCATTTTATATCATTTTTTGGTACTAACCTATTGACATAGTGCCAAGTGCCAGTTGTTGTTTTTTCATGTTTTTTACATCACAGAAAGTCAATATCAGACGGAGTCCAAATGCCCCGAAACTTTAAGGAGACTTTTTATGGGCCAGAAGGAACACAACGAGCCCTGGCTGCGCCTGGGGGGGTGCCCTGAGGGGGGCACAACCTACCAGGGTGCGCCAGGAGGCCCAGGCGTGCCCTGGTGGGTTGTGCCCACCTCGGGTGCCCCCGGACCGCCTCTTTGCTCTATAAATACCCCAAAAATCCAAGAACCCTAGAGGAGTCGACGAAATATTCATCCAGCCGCCGCAGAGTCCAGAACCACCAGATCCAATCTAGATACCATCTCGGATGGGGTTCACCACCTCCATTGGTGCCTCTCCGATGATGCGTGAGTAGTTCTTTGTAGACCTTCGGGTCCGTAGTTAGTAGCTAGATGGCTTCATCTGTCTCTTGATTCTCAATGCAATGGTCTCTTGGAGATCCATATGATGTAACTCTTTTGCGGTGTGTTTGTTAGGATCCGATGAACTTTGAGTTTATGATCAGATCTATCTTTTTATATCCATGAAAGTTACTTGAGTTTCTTTGATCTCTTATATGCATGATTGCTTATAGCCTCGTATTTCTTCTCTGATATTTGGGTTTTGTTTGGCCAACTTGATCTATTTATCTTGCAATGGGAAGAGGTGCTTTGTAGTGGGTTCAATCTTACGGTGCTTGATCCTAGTGACAGAAAGGGAAACGACACGTATGTATCGTTGCTACTAAGGATAAAACGATGGGGTCTATCTCTACATAGATAGATCTTGTCTACACCACGCTATCGTTCTTATTGCATTACTCCGTTTCTCCATGAACTTAATACACTAGATGCCTGCTGGATAGCGGTCGATGTGTAGGGTAATAGTAGTAGATGCAGGCAGGAGTCGGTCTACTAATCTTGGACGTGATGCCTAACGATCATTGCCTAGATATCGTCCTAATTATTTGAAGTTCTATCAATTTCCCAACAGTAATTTGTTTACCCACTGTTTGCTATTTTTCTTGAGAGAAGACACTAGTGAAACCTACGGCCCCCAGGTCTTCTTTCTCATATATTTGCCTTTGCGATCTACTTTTCTCTTGCATTTATTTTCAGATCTATTAACCCAAAAACACAAAAATACTTTGTTGCACTTTATTTTATTTGTGATCTATTTATTCAATCTATTACAGCTTTCTCCCGTCACGCACCAATTTTTGGCACCGTTACCCGAAAGGGATTGACAACCCCTTTAACACGTCGGGTTGCGATGATTTGTTATCTGTGTGCAGGGGCTGTTTATGTTGTGTTGCTTGGTTCTCCTACTGATTCGATAACCTTGGTTTCATATCTGAGGGAAATACCTACCGCCGCTGTGCTGCATCATCCCTTACTCTTTGGGGAGATACTGACATAGCTTCAAGGGACATCATGCATCTGTTGCATGGCAATCCCTACTCACTCACATTGATATCTATTGATAGGCATCTCCATGGCCCGTTGATACGCCTAGTTGATGTGAGACTATCTTCTTCTTTTGTCTTCTCCACAACCACCATCTATTCCACCTATAGTGCTATATCCATGCCTCACGATCATGTATTACGTGAAAGTTGAAAAAAATTGAGAACATTAAAAGTACGAAACAATTGATTGGCTTGTCATCGTGGTTGTGCATGATTTGAATATTTTGTGTGATGAAGATGGAGCATAGCCAGACTATATGATTTTGTAGGGATAAGCTTTCTTTGGCCATGTTATTTTGAGAAGACATAATTATTTTGTTAGTATGCTTGAAGTATGCTTGAAGTATTATTGTTTTTATGTCAATATTAAACTTTTGTTTGGAATCTTACGGATCTGAACATTCATGCCACAATAAAGAGAATTACATGGATAAATATGTTAGGTAGCATTCCACATCAAAAATTCTGTTTTTATCATTTACCTACTCGAGGACGAGCAGGAATTAAGCTTGGGGATGCTTGATACGCCTCCAACATATCTATAATTTTTTATTGTTCCATGCTATTATATTATCTGTTTTGAATGTTTTATATGCATTAATATACTATTTTATATGATTTTTGGAACTAACCTATTAAGCTAGAGCCCAGTGTTGTTTTTGTTTTTTCCTTGTCTTAGAGTTTCGCAGAAAAGGAATACCAAATGGAGTCCAAATGGAATAAAACTTTCGCGGTGATTTTTCTTAGACCAGAAGACACCCATGAGACTTGGAATGCAAGTGAGAAGAGCCACGAGGCGGCCACAAGGGTGGATGGCGCGCCCAGGGGGTAGGACGCCGCACCCCCCAACCTCGTGGACCCCTCGGTGACCTCCTGACCTAGATATTCCTCATATATATACTCATATACCCCAAAAACTTCCAGGGAGCCACAAAACCACTTTTCCACCGCCGCAACCTTCTGTACCCGTGAGATCCCATCTTGGGGCCTTTTCCGGCGTCCTGCCGGAGGGGGATTTGATCAGGGAGGGCTTCTACATCAACACCATTGCCTCTCCGATGAAGCGTGAGTAGTTTACCACTGACCTACGGGTCCATAGCAAGTAGCTAGATGGCTTCCTCTCTCTCTCTCTCTTTGATTCTCAATACAAAGTTCTCCTCGATGTTCTTGGAGATCTATTCGATGTAATACTCTTTTGCGGTGTGTTTGCCAAGATCCGATGAATTGTGGATTTATGATCAGCTTATCTATGAATATTATTTCAATCTCCTCTGAATTCTTGTATGCATGATTTTATATCTTTGCAAGTCTCTTCGAACTATCGATTTGGTTTGGCCAACAAGATTGTTTTTTCTTGCAATGGAAGAAGTGCTTAGCTTTGGGTTCAATCTTGCAGTGCTCGATCCTAGTGACAGAAGGGGAATCGACACGTATTGTATTGTTGCCATCGAGGATAAAAAGATGGGGTTTTCATCATATTGCTTGAGTTAATTCCTCTACATCATGTCGTCTTGCTTAAAGCGTTACTCTGTTCTTATGAACTTAATACTCTAGATGCATGTTGGATAGCGGTCGATGTGTGGAGTAATAGTTGTAGATGCAGAATCATTTCGGTCTACTTAACACGGAAGTGATGCCTATGTTCATGATCATTGCCTTAGATATCATCATAAATTTGTGCTTTTTTATCATTTGCTCGGCAGTAATTTGTTCACCCACCGTAATAATTCCTTTCTTGGGAGAAGCCTCTAGTGAAACCTATGGCCCCTAGGTCTATTTTCCATCATATAAGTTTCCGATCTACACTTTTAGTTTTCTATTTACTTTCTTTGCAATCTTTTGCTTTCCGTTCCATAAACTAAAAATACCAAAAACATCACTATGCCGCTTATATATCTCTATTAGATCTCACATTGCAAATAACCGTGAAGGGATTGACAACCCCTTTATCGCGTTAGGTGTAAGTTGGTATTTGTTTGTGCAGGTATTCGGTGGCTTGCTTGTGGTCTCCTACTGGATTGATATCTTGGCTCTCAAAACTGAGGGAAATACTTACTCTACTTTGCTGCATTACCCTTTCCACTTCAAGGTAAAAAACAAACGCAAGCTCAAGAGGTAGCACATATCCACCACAAATAGCTACCACAACATCACAATCTATCATCTGCTCACATATGGCGTACGAATCAACCCTATCACATGCTTGCACATCAAACCCTACGACCACATGCTTTCAGATCTAGTTACAATGAACAGAGAGAAGGGGGTGATTGAACTCACAGAGGTTATGGCTGCAGCTCGAGGGGTACGCGGGAACGGTCGAAGAAGTTGAGGACAGGAGTCGCCGCCGTGGACCGCCCGCGGGTGAAGGGGCGCCGCTTACCTGCTCCTCAATGCCGACGTGCGTCGGCGGGAAAGCTCGAAAGGGGGGAGAAGGGTGGCGGGAGTTTGGGCGCTGGGAGAAGGGGGCTAAATAGGGGCGACCGAGTCGGCGGGAGGTGTGCCTAAATCCTCCCGCCCATTTTTCGAAGACGCGCGCGAGCTCGCGCCATCTTCGTGGTCGCACGAGCTCAGAGCCGTGTTCCCCTCCCCTGCTTCGGCCGAGCCTGGCTCTCCAGAAACTGCCGATTCAGGCGTAGCGGTTGGGCCTAGTAAGGAGGTGCTTTAAACTTCGTGCGATGCAGACCGAACAGTGTATGGGGCAACAAAACAGTCTAAAATCTTCCCGCGCGTGCCTGGTTGGGCCAAATGCAGGTAACCAAACCCGACCTAGAAGATATAATCTATAGGACCGAATTGTCAACTGGATCAATACAGCCATCCGGCCTTCAGCAAAAAAGGAACAAGAAGAAAAGAATACGGGTGACAAAGGTTCCTACAATACAAAGCCCTACTCTTGATTTGCCTAACATACCCATAAAAAAATCTGTCTAGCACAGGACCAATTAAACGATTATATATTCAACGATTATAATAAACAATTGAAAAACTATGAACGAAGCGAAAGAAGCCGCTGTCCGATTCTTATAGAAGAATATGTCCACGAGCCCGAGTATCACTAAATCACAAGACTCCTCACCAAGTGGCGAATAGCATTCGTCGCACATCGAATACCAACGACCATATTCGAAGCTCCACCCAACAGTTAAATAGTGTGCTAGACCAAATAAGATCTCGCTGGACGAATGGCTTTGATCGCTGGAGAGTTAGGCTCCTGGTGAGTAGGCCCGATAATATATACGTGCACTCATCTATCGTGTTTGTAGTCTAGCACCACGATGACGGACGCCACACATCTCACGGGTCTCGCAACGGCGCCAATGGGGACGGACAGTCGGACGGAGCTGTTACGCGAGGTGTGTGTCGGCCGGGCCTAGTTTTGCCGCGCGCGCGGATGGCACTTTCTTTTCTTCTTCTCCATAAAAACGAAGGGCACCCCCCTCCCCTCTGTCCTCACTACACGGTCCACTCGACAGTCCACACACATCATCACACTGCGCGAGAGCCGGCACCGGTCTGGGAGAAGAGAGCAGGAGGCCATGGCGAGCGAGCGCAATGGCGACGGGGGCACGGAGAACGGCAACGGCGGCAGCGTGTCCATGGAGATGCCGGAGATCAGGTACACCAAGCTCTTCATCAACGGGGCCTTCGTCGACGCCGTCTCCGGTACGCGCCTCCGCATCTCTTCTCTCCTTTGTCTTGCGTACGCATCTACGAGTATCATTCAACATAGCCTTAGCAGCTGAAAATATATACGTATTTGCACTACAACTTCGCTAGCAGCCCCTTCAAAATGGACCGTTCACCTTGAGAGTCTGAGCTTAGTTCGAACTAACCGAGCAGGCTTTGCTCGTGGTTGGCTGAACTATGAATCCCGAACAACGAATACTCTATCATCAAGCGTCAAAGGGGGCGGAATTTGAGGTCAGTTCTGGCGCGGAGCCACATGTTGTTGACCCTCTTCACGACGCACAGTTCTTGGCGAACATGGCATGACCAGCTACGATAAGACACACCGTGCTAAGCGGAATCCACGGAAGTAACATGGCTAGCTTGTTGTAAACTAAGTGAGAACAAGCCACGAGCTTAGCTAGCGTGACGGGGTGCTTAGCTCAGCTAAAGAAATGTCCTCTAGTAGTCTTGCAAATAGAGGGCGGAAAGTACGACAAAACGTAGCTATGACAGCAGGGGCTGATGAGCTTGTAGGCGATCTGATCTCTATGCCGAGATGCATGGCACTGATGAGCTTGTAGCTAGGAGCCCATTGTCTATCTCCCTGCAGTAGAAATTGAGACATTTATTTTGAGACGGAAAAAGTATTAGGCGAATCATGTAGTTTCTTAAATGAAAATCAGAGGGGAAGCCCTTCTTATGCTAGAAAAAAGGAGCCCATTGTCTTGGGGCAGAGAGAGAGAGGGGCACCGATGAAATTCTTGGGATGGCAAGAGCAACACATGTGTTCTTCTGTCTAGAGGCTCATGACGTCCTTGTTGTCAGCCCCCACGGCACACTTCCTCGTGTTCTTCCTTCCTCTCGTTCTCGTTGTCATCTGGTCCCGTTTTCCTTGTCTGGGACGGCCGTTTCTCGTTTGCAGGAGCATGCGCCCGTGAGATGCCATCGATGATGCGTCTTCAAATCAGATTCGAGTGACCGTAGAGCCTGTCGCCTAGGGATGTCAACCGGGTCCTGTTTAATTTTGTTTAAAGTCTATTTATAATATTATAGTTCAAAAAGGTTTTTTTGTTTATTTGAGGAAAATAAACTATCAAGCTAGCAAAAACTAGCTAAACGGAATTATGGATGCCATTTATTTGCCACTTACATCCCTACTGTCGCCTTCCAAGCCCGTCCGTCACTAAAAGCGAGCGAATGCCTGCGTTCACGTCACTGGCTCCCTTGCTCGGAAATAATGAAAACAAATAAGTTTGAAGCAGTGAAAAGAACAAATAAGTTTGAAGCAGTGAAAAAAAATGTTGCCCCTTGCGTTCACGTCACTGGCTCCCTTTCAAGCCCATCTGTCACCTTCTAGAAGCATGCGAATGCCTGCGTTCACGTCCGCCCCACCTTTGATGGCCTTTGTAATTTCTTTTACCTCTATTGCTTTTTATACTACCATGATTAATTATGAATATATCAGAAATTTCTCTTGCAAAAAATGAAGAAGTCGGAGACAAAGCCGGAGGGTGCCTTATTGCGTACGGTTCCCACCGCAGCTGGAAGGCGGCACAAATAGTTTCCCACCACAGCTGGAAGGCAGCACAAATAGTGAACACCTACCTATTCATCTGCCTTTAGCATCGCCTGACTCGGACATGGTGTTCCCATACTTCTCAATACCCAGCCAGGGCAATGTAGCTATCCCAAATAATAAGACATATGAAAGCTGGCCACACCCGAGCCCCTATTCTGATACATAATATAATGTTCGATCTCAACCTTTCTAAGGAACTGAACTAAAAACACTTTTATATTATGGGACGGCGAGAGTAGATGCTTAATGTCCTCAATCACATGGCCATGATGTTTTTGACACTACACTAGTGTCAAAAACGCTCTTATATTACGGGACGAAGGAAGTAGATGCTTAATGTCCTCAATCACATGGCCATGATACAATTGGGTATCCGGTCATTTATTGCACATGATCTCATCATGGGATCTTGTGTCCCATGCGCCACTAGAGCCATAAGAAGCCTAAGTAACCATTATTAAGTACCTCCGTCACCACCGCCGGATGGGTCGAATAGACACATAACGAGACTTTCTAAAGCTCCAAGACGGGACAACTATAGCTCCCGCCTAGAATGTTTAACTGATTGTTAGTTAAGTAAAATATAACTTTTGGGTCCTTACCTATTAGCTAAGTTTATTTAACCGCATGTCACTACATTTTAAAGCAGGTAAGTCTTCTTTTGCCGGGGTTCAACTAGGCAGTTTGATCTTTATCTTTTAGTAGCATGGAGTTTTGCTTCTCACCAACACATATCGACATGGCGACAATTTTTCCTATATGTAAACTTTAAACATGGATTCGAAACAAGTGTGGAAACATGTCATTGAAATTGCTAGAAAAAAATCAGAGCCAAGTAGATTTAGATTTTTTAAAATTCAAAAGATTGCATTTGAGTTGCTAAAATTTGTGGAAACTTTAAACAAGGAATACATACAAAAAAGGTTAAAATACCATAGAACAATTGCTCCGAGGTCTCGGCTAAAAAATACATAAAAGGTTAGAAAAAAGAGGGGAAAGTATAAGGTGGTACCAACCCATCCATGCTCTCATGCTCCCAATTGAAAAGTTCAAACTTAAACATTTCAATGATTTTTGAACCAAATCATGTATGCTCTTAACATTTGTGTCTACAAGTCCCTGAAAAATTACAATCCAAATTCATCATGAATATGCCAAAAGATGACAAAGGTAAAAAAATGACACTATTCACATCTGGATTTATCTTTTTTGGTTTCTTTTTTTGTTCCAAATTTAGATCTAAATTTTTGAGGGGTTGTAGACACATATCTTATGAACACTCACAATTATTTCAGATTTTTTTAAATGTTTAAATTTGTTTTTTTTTCTAAATTAGGAGCATCGATGCATGCGAGGGATGGTATTACTGGATATTTTCCGATGAAAAGAGATTAACTCATAACTTTTGAAGAAATATCATAGATGATTTATAATATTAAAATCACCCAATGTCTATAGTTTTTGTGTAAGGCTTATGATCACTTCTCTCTTTTTAAAAAATTTCGGGTTGCTATCATTTTCAATAAGTGTTGTATTATCCATGCTACATACGGAATAATGTTTTTTAATATATTCTGATAATTTTAAGAAGCACTCTAAGATTGTTGTAAAAAAATTGACTTTTTCATCCTATTTTTATTTAAAAAATCGCAACAAGCAAATACAAAACATAATGAACAACACCTGGTCTCTGCATAGCAAATATGCAGACAACCAAAACTAAGTCTCACAAAAGTAAGAAAAATGGCATGTTGGCAACAATAAGGTCATACGGAGTGACACTATGCCAGTTGAAGGAGGTGGAGGACCGATCAACAAATTATGTTTCCATCCATGTTGGGCAAGAATCTCTCTACCGGCATACACAACCTTCGAACAGTGGTTGATATTCCGTTCAACATAGCGTAGACCACATACGAAGCCAATACATACAATGGTACAAAACCTGCAAATAGAAGAGATTTTGCCATTAAAAATATAATTCTTAAATAGCCAAAGCCACCATAATTGTTAAGCTTCATGCACTAGCCAACGCAACTAAAAGTCCGAACTGATGGAAAGGGCTAGGCAATCCACATATACACTTCAACACACCCTCTCACGTGTGATGCAAGAGGCCTATATGTGGACATAAGAGAGGGGGGCAACAACAATTTTTGAATAAACTACGAAAGCCAGGACTTGAACACAAGACCTTAGGCTCTGATACCATGTTAACCTTTATGCACTAACCAACGCAACCAAAAGTCCGAACTGATGGAAAGGGCTAGGCAATTCACATATACACTTTTGGTTGCGTTGACTAGTGCATGAAGCTTAACATGGTATCAGAGCCCAAGGTCTTGATTTCAAGTCCTGGCTTTCGCGATTTATCTAAAAATTGTTGTCCCAAGTCTCACAGAAGTAAGAAAAATGGCATGTTGGCAACAATAAGGTCATACGGGAGTGATACTATGCCAGTTGAAGGAGGTGGAGGACCGATCAACAAATTATGTTTCCATCCATGTTGGGCAAGAATCTCTCTACCGGCATACACAACCTTGGAACAGTGGTTGGTACTCCGTTCAACATAGCATAGACCACATACGAAGGCAATACATACAATGGTACAAAACCTGCAAAATAGAAGAGATTTTGCCATTAAAAATATAATTCTTAAATAGCCAAAGCCACCATAATTGTTAAGGCCAATACGTGGACATAAGAGGGGGGCAACAACAATTTTTGAATAAACTATGAAAGTCAGGACTTGAACACAAGACCTTAGGCTCTGATACCATGTTAACCTTTATGCACTAACCAACGCAACCAAAAGTCCAAACTGATGAAAAGAGCTAGGCAATCCACATGTACACTTTTGGTTGCGTTGACTAGTACATGAAGCTTAACATGCTATCAGAGCTCAAGGTCTTGATTTCAAGTCCTGACTTTCGTGATTTATCTAAAAATTGTTGTCCCCTCCCCCCTCCCCCCCCCCTCCCCTTGTATCCACGTATAGTCCTCTTGAGCCATACCTCTGAGTCTGTCCACATGTTGACTTTCCGCGTCACACGTGAGAGAAGGTGTTAAAATGTATATGTGAATTGCCTAGCCTTTTCATCAGTTCGGACTTTTGGTTGCGTTGACTAGTGCATGAAGTTTAACAATAATAACCCAAGTATTTAGAGATGTACAACAGAATAGTAGTGCATTCTGAGGTATGCAGCTCGGTCAACAGAGAGAAAGAAATCTCTAAGCCATTCTGAAACAGGAAATCAGTTTGATTTTATAGCTAGTCCCTGATGGTGGTCCTGTATTCCGTAGATTTTTGTCTCTTTCTGATCTGAACTTCACGGCTGTTTATTTGGTTTTCTGCTTGATCAGGTAAGACATTCGAGACCAGGGATCCGCGCACCGGGGATGTGATCGCCAGCATCGCCGAAGGTGACAAGAAGGACGTGGACCTGGCGGTCAAGGCGGCAAGAGAAGCCTTCGATCATGGCAAATGGCCTCGCATGCCCGGATCCGTAGGATTCTTTCCTCTATCAATTCTTCATCATACACAAAAAAATGAAAGAATTACAGTTCAATCTGAAAAGAGCAACCAATGAATGGCGCGCAGGAAAGAGGAAGGATCATGACGAAGTACGCGGACCTCGTGGAGCAGCACGCGGAGGAGCTGACCCTGCTGGAGAGCCTGGACGCCGGCAAGCCGCGCATGGTGACCAGGGTGGTCGACATCGGGAGCTCCGCAAGCTCCCTGCGCTACTTCGCCGGAGCGGCCGACAAGATCCACGGCGAGACGCTCAAGATGTCGAACCAGTTCCAGGGGCACACCCTGCGCGAGCCCATGGGCGTCGCCGGGCTCATCATCCCCTGGAACTTCCCCGCCATCATGTTCTTCTGCAAGGTCGCCCCGGCGCTGGCCGCCGGTTGCACCATGGTCGTCAAGCCGGCCGAGCAGACCCCGCTCAGCGCGCTCTACTTCGCTCACCTGGCCAAGCAGGTCAGACAGACCGGTAACCTGACACGAGACACGCACCGTCTCTCTTGTTCTGAACTTTTGGCGCTCTGTTCTTGAGCAGGCGGGAGTCCCGGACGGGGTGATCAATGTGATCCCCGGCTTCGGCCCAACGGCGGGAGCAGCGATCGCGTCTCACATGGACGTCGACATGGTAATCTCACAACACCCTACTGATTTAGTACGTGAGCAAGTAGTTACTTACTCAGTTGCTCTATATGTTTTCTTGCTCGTCCAGGTGAGTTTCACGGGATCAACACCAGTTGGGCGGCTGATAATGGAGGCGTCGGCGAGGAGCAACCTGAAGCCGGTGTCCCTGGAGCTGGGCGGCAAATCTCCCCTCATCATCTTCGACGACGCGGACGTGGACCTGGCCGTGGATCTCTCCATCAGCGCCAACTTCTTCAACAAGGTGAACAACATCTTGATTAGAGAGACAGCCTAGCCATACGAGTTAGAGCAGCTGAGATCATCATTCATTGATGTTGCAGGGAGAAGCTTGCGTCGCGGCGAGCCGTGTGTACCTGCAAGAGGGCATCTACGACCGATTCGTGAAGAAGTTGGCGGAGCGCATGGAGAGCTGGGTTGTCGGGGACCCTTTCGATCCTCGCGTCAATCAAGGGCCTCAGGTGAAAAACAATGGATCATTCCCACTGCTTGTACGACACAGATCGATTTCTATTGAATCTGAAACTTGGATGCTATTACTCGTGCCCAGGTGGACAAGGAACAATACGAGAGGGTGCTCAGCTACATCGACCATGGCAAGCGAGAAGGGGCCACCGTACTGACGGGAGGAAAGCCCTGTGGTGAGAGAGGTTACTACATCGAGCCCACGGTTTTCACCGATGTCAAGGTCGAAATTCCCCGCCAGAACACGCACTGTAATCCCGTTCCATGATCACTTCGCTCTCTATCTAGTATATATCTGACATCGTGGTGCGGAATCTGTGAACAGGATGACATGACCATAGCAAAGGAGGAGATCTTCGGACCCGTCATGTGCCTGATGAAGTTCAGGTAAGCCCATCCCGGTCGATCGACAGAGATACAACTATTTGCACTCTGAATCTGTGATGGCATTGAATCTTCTTTCCATGGTTCTAGGACGGTGGAGGAGGCGATCGCGAAGGCGAACGACACGAGGTACGGGCTGGCGGCGGGGGTGGTGACCAAGGACATCGACGTGGCCAACAGGATGACGCGGTCCATCCGCGCCGGGGTGGTGTGGGTCAACTGCTACTTCGCCATGGACGCCGACTGCCCGTTCGGGGGCCGCAAGATGAGCGGGTTCGGCAAGGACGCCAGCATGCACGCGCTCGACAAGTTCCTCGCCGTCAAGGCCGTCGTCACCCCCGTCTACGACTCGCCCTGGCTCTAGCTCGCCTCTCTTGTCTGTGCACAGTTAGTTACGAGGGGAAGCAGCAAAAGAAAGAGAAACATTGTTCATTCAGAGACAACGTGTTTTTTATTTGTGTGCCAAACGAAAGAGCAAATGTTGTTTGTCGATGCTGTGGTAATATTGCCCGCGAGTAATTAGCCATTCGTATATCCTTTCCTTTCTATCATGCTTTAGGATAAACATAAGGTTACCCCGCAAAAAGTGCATAAGGTTCTATCATCCATTTCTGATTTAATTTATTCTTTTTCTTACTGGTTTTCCTAAACAACCTCCAGAACTAGCTCACGTCTTATTGGCCTGTAAAATAAAATCATATGGAGTACTTTTTATAAGTCAATAAGTATTGACTAGCAAAACAGCCCGTGCGTTCCACCGGGATAAAAGATCATAATCTTCAATGACCATCGCCATATTTTGCTGCATCACCGAGATACACTATCACTCTCATTTTTGAGAAATCGCGAACAATTTTTGAAACTAATGATTCTTTTTAAATCGTGAACATATCTGAAATTGTGAATATTTTTCAAATTCATAATTGTTTTACAGGTTTTTGAATATTTACTAAAATTATGAACATTTTTTGAATTCATGAACATTACATACTATCTGTGAATATTTTAAAAAATTGTGAAAAAAATTCTAAACAATTTTTTTGAATAGGCAAACATTTCTAGGGTCGACAAACATTTTTTTGCAAATTGGTGGAACAATTTTTGAAATTTAAAAACATTTTTTATTTAAAGACTTTTTTTTGAAATGCATGATCATTTTCATTGTTGAGGAAATCGTTAACTGGTAGCTGCTCGGTCGGCTAGTGAGTAGGGGATTAATAGGCTAATCGGCAAGTTAATCGGCCATTTAATCAATTAATCGGACAATTTACCAGGTAATCAGCTACTCGGGGACCCTATGAGTAGGGATTAATCGGCAAGTTAACTGGTTAATCGGATGAATTCTTGAACAGGGATCATTTTATGAACCAGCGAAAATTTTATGAATGAATAAAATATTTTTAAGTCACGAACAGTTTTTTAATTCTTAGGATATTTTTCAATCCTTGAACACTTTTTTAATTGATGAAATTTTGTTCAATTTCATGAACCTTTTTTTAATAACGAATTTTATAAAAACCATGAACATTTTATGATTTCCCATAATTTTTTTTTCAAAATTTTGAACATTTTTTTAAAACGCAAACATTTTTGAAAAATCACAAACATTTTCTTAATCCACAAATATGAAATACTGAACATTTTATTTCAAAATTCTCATTTTGTATTAATTTCTGGAACTTTTTTGAAGTTCCAAATTATTTAAAGTAGAAAAAATATAGTCGGAAAAGAAAAATGAAGAATAAAAAACGAAAATAGGCCGCCCGGACATGGGCCGGCTCAAACAGGCGCGCTGAGCGCAGTATAGAAGATTCTGACTGCATGGGCCGGCGCAGGCAGAGATTCCTCCGTGTGAACGTTTTTTTATCACTTATAGATGACATCAGTGGGTAATATTTTACAAATTTGAGGACAATTTTGGTGACGTACCACCAGAAGTAATAACCCCTTTATTATTAGAGATATAGATATAGATATAGATTCAATTGTCATTTCGGTATGCAATCATATTAACAATAAATGACTGATAAATAATGATGATTGTCTAGAAAATATTGTGCAGCCGTCACAATGCACGGACAAGATATCTAATCCATTTAAGAGTCCGGGCATTACATGCCAACTAGAGTAGCAAACTCCACCTAACAGTTAAATAGGATGCCAAATAAATAAAACCTCTCAGGCCGGTTGGCATACACCAGAGTTTCCCTTTTCCTTTTGCCAAAGACTATATTCGACAGCTCAAAAGAAAAAAATACTAGACTCCATATATCGTATTTCTGGTCCGACCCAAATGTAAGCTTCTATCTATCATTCATTTTGTTTTTTGTCCTCCGTCCTGCCATCTATTTCATTTCCGATTCTAAAGAACCGCCTCAACTAAAGAAAAAACATACATGATTGAAAAAAATATGCCCAATAATAATGTTGTTATTTATATTTCCTTATATCATGATAAATGTTTATTATTCATGCTAGAATTGTATTAACCAAAAACTTAGTACATGTGTGAATACATAGATAAACAGAGTGTCACTAGTATGCCTCTACATTGACTAGCTCGTTAATCAAAGATGATTAACTTTCCGAACCATAGACATGAGTTGTCATTTGATGAACGCATTAGAGAATGATGTGATTGACATGACCCATTCGTTAGCTTAAGCACTATGGTCGTTTAGTTTATTGCTATTGCTTTCTCCATAACTTATACATGTTCCCATGACTATGAGATTATGCAACCCCAAATACCGGAGAAACATTTAGTGTGCTATCAAACATCACAACATAATTGGGTGATTATAAAGATGCTCTACAGGTGTCTTCAATGGTGTTTGTTGAGTTGGCATATATTGAGATTAGGATTTGTCGCTACTACTAATTTCAAAACTGGCCACATGGCGGGCCCCGCTTAGCAGTAGCGTGTGTGCAGAAAGCGTGTTGCTGCTATGCTCGTAGCAGTAGACCGACTCCTTGCATCTACTACTATTACTCCACACATCGCCCGTTATCCAGCATGCATCTAGAGTATTAAGTTCATAAGAACGGGGTAACTGTGACGCCCCCGCTTTGACCGTACACTAATCATACACCCAAATGTGTACGATCAAGATCAAGGACTCACGGGAAGATATCACAACACAACTCTAGACACAAATTAAAATAATACAAGCTTTATATTACAAGCCAAGGGCCTCGAGGGCTCGAATACATAAGCTCGAAAACTCAAGAGTCAGCGGAAGCAACAATATCTGAGTACAGACATGAGTTAAACAAGATTGCCTTAAGAAGGCTAGCACAAAAGCAACAACGATCGAAAAAGGCGAGGCCTCCTGCCTGGGAGCCTCCTAACTACTCCTAGTCGTCGGCGGTCTTCATGTAGTAGTAGGCATCCTCCGGGTAGTAGTAGTCATCGGTGGCGTCGTCTGGCTCCTGGGCTCCGTCATCTGGTCGCAACCATCGGGTATGGGGGATAAAAGAAGTAGCAAAGCAATCGTGAGTACTCATCCAAAGTACTCGCAAGACTTACATCAGATCTAAACTAAGTATGCATCTGTATCAAGGGAAAGGGGTTGTATCTGTGGACTAAACTGCAGAATGCCAGAAGGGAAGGGGAAAGCCTAGCATATCGAAGACTAGCATCTTCTGGAACCCACCATCTTGCAGCAACAGGAGGGAGTAGAGTAGCATAAGGTAAAGTAGCGGTAGTGTTATCAACCTCGGCCACAGATCCTTTCTCGACTCCCTGCGAGAAAGCAATCCCAGAGCCATACTATCCATTCATCATAATCATGTCTCATCTCAAGTATTCAGTTCTAGTTGTATCGATCGGGATACAACTCCAAGTGTCCGTTACCATAGGACAGGCTATCGATAGATGTTTTCTTCCCTGCAGGGGTGCACCAACTTACCCACCACGCTCGATTAACTCCGGCCGGACACACTTTTCTGGGTCATGCCCGGCCTCAGCCAAACAATACGCCGCAACCCGACCTAGGCTTAATAGAGAGGCCAGCACGCCGGACTAAACCTATGCCCCCAGGAGTCATGGGCCATCTCCCTGGGAACTCCTGCACGTTGCGTGGGCGGCCGGTGAGCAGACCTAGCTACCTCCTTCAAAAAGGTAGGTGCTTACCAGTCCAACCCGGCGCGCGTTGCTCAGTCGCTGACGTCTATTAAGCTTCGACTGATGTATACGACGCAGAACGCCCATACAATGCCCACGTGATGGTTAGTGCTATTAGGCCAGAGGCCCCTCGGATCAAATATCCAAATCGTAGTGGATTAGGAACGCGCGGTAACGAGCAGATACTCACGATCGATGTGACCCCGTCGCCCCGTCTCGAGTACTTGCGGCAAGGGCTAAGAATGCCCGGCCACGCCTCGTAAGTATCTCGCGGGCACCTTCCAGGTCAACCCGACTCCACATCACTCGCTATTAAGCTCGCGCGGGTACCCCTCAGGGTCGACCGTCTTTAGTAACATGGCTCAGTGTAAAGTCATAGTAACCATACTAACTGTGTGTCTAACACCAAGGGGAAAACCCGAGGAATCACCCCCGGTGAATCCCACTCGATGTTATCATCAAGGTGAACGTAAGAGGATCCATCCTCGAGGTTCACACTTGAGGGGTTGCACGCCAGAGCGGTAACGGAACTGGTTAAGGAGGAAATCACCCTCGATGACCTCGACGGTTTAGCTACACTACAAAGATCTCATCAGGAGCGATGTAAGAGGTTCCACCCTCGGCACTCGATGGTAACTCTGTAGAGTCGTACAACTAGGGGGTGATGTGCGGTGTCGGGGCCTGGACGTCGATCACGTTGATCGAGTCATTGAACATAAGGCGAGGCAACTGGGACAAGGTGGGGTCACTGATGGATCACTAACCAACCTATACTAAGCAGTTTAGGATAAGCAGTTAAAGTAACAATAAGCAGGTAACAAAAACAGACTATGCATTAGAGTAGGATCATACATAAAGCAGTAGCAGTTCTAATGCAAGCAACAGAGGGAAAGAGATGGGCGATATCGGAATGCTCAAGGGGGGTTTGCTTGCCTGGTTGCTCTGGCAAGGAGGGGTCGTCGTCGACAGCATAGTCGATCGGGGCACCAGCAGCGACATCAGTCTCGTAGTCTATCGGAGAGAAGAGGGGGAAGAAACAATGAATATAATGCAAACAGATACATAGCGATGCATGACATAACAAGTAGCGGTGCTAGGTGTGCCCTAACGCGGTATGAGGTGATACCGGTGAAGGGGGGAAACATCCGGAAAAATATACCCGATGTTTCGCGTTTTCGGGCAGATGAATCAGAGGGGGAAAGTTGCGTGTTCGCTATGCTAAGGACATGCGGCGGATG